TTTTCAACATATATATATATATATATATATATATATATATATATATATATATGGCAGCAAAAAGACAAAAACATCACACCAACAATAAGTTGGGAAATATTGAAAAAAGCCCCTGCCTACAACAACATTACTAAAAAATGCCTACTTTGCCTACACGAAAAAGTAGCAATAATATCACACAAACCGCAAAAGAACTTACTAAACAAAAAATCAGAGATAATCTCCAAATGTAGGCATGAGAACAAGTACCTATTATCCGAATTCATACCAAACGGATAAAACAAACAAACCACCAACAATCACAATTTAATTTCAAGATACCATCAAAATAATTGCATCTTTCATTATTATAATTGCACCGCCATTAGTAATCACTTTTACTACAATACCTTTTAACTAACAATATTATCATTACCACCAACGCACAGCACCATCACTTACACATCACACCCACTATTAACACATATAAATACACACATATAAATCCACTACAATCTTTATTACTCCCCCAGCATATTTAATACCTTAATACAATATGATCAGATATAATTTCCATATGTAACCATGAGAATAAACACCTATTACCAGGCAGCTTTAATATAATAACAATAATAATTTTGTAATTAAAAATTAAAAATTATAGCAATCCCCAACTACCATAATTTTACACAGAATACCTATTATCAGGATTTATACCAAAATAAATTAATACATATAACAAAATAAAACAAAATAAAATAAAACACCAACAACCACTTTTTAGTTCAAGCTACCACCACTATAACTACATTCATGGTTTTATCATTCTCCCACCACCGTTACTAATCATTTCTACCAATTTACAATTTCTACCAATTCACAATAACTATTAGCTATCATTGTCTCCAATCCCTTGAAACATTACTATCACATCATACCATATAGACCCGTTATTAAATTGAACTACCCTCTCACCCAGCACATTGAATATTAAACTAAACATCACCATATAAATTAACCAATACGGATTACAAATTTCTACCTGTTACATATACACAGTCACCAAAAACAAACAAATAACCAGCTTTAAATATAACAAATAGAGCCCCATTTTTTTTTTCCAAAAATTTAAAAATAAATATAAATAATAATAATTTTACCTATCATAATTTTACAACAAACCCCAATTACACGCATATACATACATGCGAGGAGATATTTTCAGCTGGAAAATACATATGACATGTACACATCAACGAGACATTTCCGCCACACTTCCAATGTTTAGATTTCAACATACAAACGCGTATGTATAGATATAACACCACCCGCATACATACATGTGTCATAGCCGAAACTGCCCACATATGTTTTTATATGTATGAGTCCCGACGGACGACCAAGTATGTATATGTGTCTGCATACATCGATGTTTGCGTTAGTACGATGAATGACAAAACGACGAAATTTCCCCCACCACTTCCAAAATAACACCAATACACGCAATCTACATAAACCCAAATTTTTTTAAAACATTAATCAGTTTGTCTGACGATCGCTAAAGCGTGAAACCCAGGGTCACAAACTCCATCTATCCAACCAAATATGTTAGCTCTATCTCTGATATTGAGCGCTATCTAATAAGTATACCGCATATAATATATAAATAATTATAGATATATATATTTGTTTATATTTATATACACTTTTCATATATATATATATATATATATATATGATACATATTTATATATATATATGTACATACATACATGCACACACACACACACACACACATATATATATATATATATATATATATATATATATATATATATATATATACATACATACATACATACATACATACATACATACATACATACATAGATCTCTCTTTTTTTCTGTATTAGCTAAAAAAATTTTCTCAATAAAATGTAAAAGAAGAAAAACAAAAAACGTAAACTTAAATAAAATACACCACTTCAGTGTTTTATTAATCGGATATCTTTATGCATACTTTTCGGAATCACTTTCATCATTTATATCTAAAACTGGCCAATTGACGAGGTAATTACAGTATATACTCGCATTACATAAGCTTATATTAACGAACATGAATAACGCCCAATAAACTCCACACACACACACACACACACACATATATATATATATATATGACCGTTCAATGCTTACCTCAAAATGTTTAACTTCATCTGCAAAGTAAAAAAAAGAACAGTTCTATACCTATAATCTTCATCGGTTACTTGCCTGTTTGGTAGAATGGCAACAGCATAAACAAATAGATAAAATAAATAAAGCTAAATGAATAAATAAATATGCTCTGGTTGTTCTCGACTGCAGCGAGCGAAAACTGATAAACAATGAAGAATATTAATTATTGTTTGAAAGCTCTGCCATTTTTATCTGGATTTTTGCTTTTATTGGTGGTCGGCCATTTTGAACGCTGGTCAGTAATCAGAAATTGCGGCCATTGTACGTTAATTGACATCGGTGATAACTACGAAGGTGGAGAGAAATGGTGAAGAAATGGCGGATGACAGAAATGAGAATGTATGGTGCTGATTATCGAAGACATAGAGAGTAAAAGGGGATATAAACAGAAAAAGTGAGAGAAAGGGTAGAAGCTATGAAAATAATCGAAGAAAAGAAATGGGTTATGGTTAGAAACGGAGGTGGAAGAGTTTAAAAGTGATGGGAAAGAAAGAAAGAAAGAAAGAAAGAAAGAAAGAAAGAAAGAAAGGGGTAACGTAGGAAAAAAGTAAGAAAAAAGTAAAAGAAAGGGCTAATGAAAGTGAAAGACAGAAAGAACCATGAAACAGTAAATGAAAGAAAGAAAGAGCTAAAAAAAGGAAAAAAGAAAGATAGAAAGAAAAAAGACAGAAATAGGGAACACAAGAAAAAAGGAAGAAAAGAAAATGAAAGAACGCTTGAAGGAAAGAGAAAAGAAAGAAAAAGAAAGAAACCGCTAAGAAAGTGAAAGAAATAAAGAAAGAAAGAAAGAAAGAGCCATGAAACAGGAGATGAAAGAAAGAGCTAAGAAAGAAAGAACGAAAGAGGAGCTAAGAAAAGGAAAAGAAAGAAAGATCTAAGAAAGGGGAAAACAAAGAAAGGAAGAAATAAAGATTAAAAGAAAGAAAAAAGAAAGGACAAAGAAAGCGAAAGAAATAGAAAAGAAAGAAAAAAAAGTAAAAATCAAATAAATTGAAAGAAATAAAGAGTTATGAAAGAGGTAAAGAAAAAAGAAAGAAAGAAAGAAAGAACACAAAAATGCATAAAAGTAAATGATTACCATTGGTAATTACCCAAAAAGTAGGATTACTGAATGTGTTTAAAAATCGGAGAATAAAAAGCAATATTAAAAAAACTAATTTTCATTGATAGATCTAAATAGATTGATGAGAAAGAGATAATTATAGAGAGATGGATCAATAATTCGGTAGCTGGTTTTTGTTCTAAATTTTGATTAATATTTATCACTGAATTAAGTGCATTAACAAAGGAAGCTGGGTTGAAAGATACATAATCGTATAAAATATGTTATTCAAATTTGTTGATTTAACTACGAATATTTATGTTATATTTAATGTATGTATCAATACATATAGTTGATATATATATATATATATATATATATATATATATATATATATATATATATATATATATATATATATATATGCGCACTAATTTTAAAATTCCTTTTCATTGCAAGAAAAACTTTCTTTTCATTTTCTTTGATTTGTTTCTCTCTTCGTTGTATCGTCTGCAGTTTAATTTTTCCTTTGTGCAGCCAATTGCAAAATGATCCTGACGAATAAATCGTTTCGCAAACATCGTCATTTAGCCGTGGTCTCGCTTCAGCTGGTTTAGTCACGTGATAAAGTCTCACAGATCAAAAGAAAATAGAAATAAATTATAAGGAAAAGTATTGAATACTCAGCACTTGTGGCGTCATTCTCTGTTGGTCTAATTTTCGTCAATATCAGTGACTTGATGAGATGTCCCTTCAGCTGCGTGTTTGACACATGTGCTAATGATTAGTGTTCAAGCTCTTGTAAAAAAAAATTCTGTATGGTAATATTAGCCGTTTCCTTATAAGAAAATATTCGGTATTTATTAACTGAACAGCCATTTGTATTACCGGTTAAATTTATTTCTAGTAAAACAATTTTTAGGAAAATAGCTTTGTCAATTCTATTAAATGTTACGTCCTTTCTCGAATTGAATTGATAGCTGCTTCTTTTCTAAACCTTTATTTGAAGTAGTATGGAAAATAAACATACTTTATTATATCTATATTTTCTCTTCGAATGGCCTATGCTATCCATTTTAGTTGTTGCTGCCGTTGAAGGTCTTCAAGTAATGTGGTTTCTGTTAAGTGGTACGATTTCTTGTGATTCAGTTCACGAAGATCGAAGAAGAATGGTCCTCTCTAACACCTGTATTGTTCAATTGCTCGAAGCTATTTTTTACGACTGATGATTTTTAATGCCATACCATTTTCAAAGGCAGATGTGGTGAAAAATCTCCACATTTTTACTGAATCTTTTGAATAAAGATGTCACCATCTCTGTTATTATCGTCACAACGTTATACTTTTCGGACTTCATCATATGTTCACGATAGAATGGTCCTCTCTAGATAGATATATGACGTCCTTCCGGCAATATCGAAGTAAATACTTTCTTCAATCAACGGTGGTAAATTATTCTTATCCCACTGTCTGTGTTCGTAGATAAAATTGTAACATTTAGTTTGCGTTGAGTTGATACATTTTATGATATATCGTAACTTGTTGGGTTATTTAATGCCGAAATCTAATTTCTTTATTTTATACTTATGTCTATAAGTAAAGATTAGTAAGGGTTATATTAAATCATTGGAAAGGTTTGTACACGATTAGACAATTAAAAACGAAATTTTACATAATCACAAAATATATTTATTATTCAAGTACATAGTTTCCATTGATTTTAACAACTGTCTCCCATCGGAGAAACTTTATGTTTTTTGAAGAAGTTTGTGAGATAGTTTTCGACTAACTGTACCGGGACAATTGTTTTGTCATTTAAACTGTTCTTTAGAGATCGGAACAAATGAAAATCCGAAGAAGCCGAGTCAAGAGAATACGGTAAGTACTGAAAGATTTGCCATTTTAATTCTTTAAGCTTCTACAAGGTCTTTTTTGCATTGTCGTAGTGGAAAATGTCATCTTTTCGATTTAATAAAATTGGTCGTTTTTCTTGAACCAGTCTCTTCAAATGGCGAAAGGCAGTTGAGATATCGATTCTCAAGCTCAGGGCAATGTCTTCCATCGAAATTTTTGGTTTATTCTCCACCATAGGAAACAGAGTGTCTTCATCGACCTCGGGTGGTCCCACGGAAAGTGTTTGACCGTTTAAGTTAAAATCACCCTGACGAAATCTGTGAAACCATTTTTTGGACGTCCGAAGAGCTGGAGCACAATCCAAATAAAACTTCTTAATGTTTTTATTTTATTTTTTTGGTCGTAGTTCTGGCACTTTTTTCCTTTCCAAAATTCATAGACCATAATATGACGAAAGTACGACTTTTCATCCTCCATATTTAAAGCATTCATTTGTGAAGAAATCGTCAAATTTCAACGTCTGACACTCAACAGGACGAAGCGAGTTTTCAATGTTGAAGGTTGAATTTTCAGTTTTTTAAAGAAACAAAATTGCACTCAGTGCAAAAGCTGTGCTTTTTTTGTGATAGGCACTAACATCAAAAATTAGATTCAAATCCTTTACCAGTTTTTGAGCATTACTTTTAAAGATGGCCTGAAAAAAAACCTACAGAAGTTCCTAATTTCCGCAAATTTTTGCTTACGAACTGGCTTCAAATTTGCTATTTCAAGAATAAGCCAAATAAAGTTGATTTTTTTTGTATTAGATACATTAAATGGAAAATGTATTGAAACCTGAATTCTAATTAGGAATCACCATGAGCAAATTTTTCTGTATTCGATAAGTGAAAACTGTATAACTTATCTTACAAAAAATGCTTATCAATGAATAAGATCTTGCACAGATTATAATTATTAAAAACAAAAAGATATAAAATATATATAATATTGATGGGCACTCATAAGACAAAATATTCTAAATTTGCATTGTTTATTGAAAATCACACTAAAATCGCTGCACTGTATATCATATTAAATCCCAAGATATCGAAACTGTTCAGTATAATTTCTTTTTGATGGCACAAATATATAATAATAATAATAATAATAATAATAATAATAATAATAATAATATGCTTGTGCTTTTCTTCTTGCCCATATTAATTTAACTGTTCTTTTCATACCTTGTGAATATGCAGCTAAACACTGCAAATCCAATTCATTAGAACCTTTTGCTGTTCATTATTTGATAAACGTTCTTTAAACACTGATTCACAAACTCCATTTTGTGAAAGGCTAATCAAATTTGACTTTTGTCTATCGCTTCAGAATTGATGAATATCATTTCTTAATCTCTTCTTTGGTAGCTCGCTTCTTCTGAAAAAAATATTGGAAAATTTATACATATTTGGTTATTTTAAGACATTTTTATGTTTATACATTCTTTTTATGTCTTAAAATAATTGTCGGACTTTGTCCATTTCATAATGTGTGACGTCATTTTTTACATTTGGATACGCATTGAGCAGATATGAATGTACATGAGAGAATCATGGAAGATTGTAGTTTAAAAGCAGTAAAATCAACCTCGATAACCGAACGCTACTCTGTGGCCCAATCGGTTAAGGCAGATCAGGCTATATGACGGTTCCGTATAGGATGCAGGTTCGATTCCTGTCGGAAGAAGAGTATTTTCTATAAAAATTTCTTGGACATTCAGTCCGGTAAATGTTGTTTAATACTTTTTATTATAAACAGAGCATTTACTAAAATATTTGTATCTATAAAAAGGAGTGGAAAACATAAAAATGTCTTAAAATAATTGTCGGAATTTGTCCATTTCATATTTGGTTATGTTTTTTGTGATGTAATTAGAATTAAATTTTAATTAAGTATGAATAAATGTTTAATTCTAAGGGTCAAACATTTTTATAGCCTCTTCCCTCAACTGCAATTCATCTGACCTCAAAATTGAGAAAAAGAATATTTTTTAGGAGCAAGGCGAAGGCGTTGTGCTCTAAGTTTAATAGTGCAACATTCTGTATTTCAGTCAACTGTTGCTTTATTCTCTGGATCATGTTGAAGATATACAGTTGTTTGTTATGAAATTATTTATCTGTTTTAATTTCAAACCAGCTAACTGCATATATTTCAATTACAAATTTTATAAGGCTGTTCTATAAGGCTTTCACTGTTCTCCATAACGAAATTTCAACGCTCCAATTTTGAAGCTAAACTTAATCTTTAAACTCGTTTCCTTTAAAAAAAAATGTAACGATTTAGAAAAAAATATTTAGTGGCATTATTTTCTAACCGAAACCCCCAACTTTCAAATCGAGTGCAATACCATGGTTCCGATAAGGACCTGCCCTAATATAGAACACATTAAATATTGGCCAAAAACAAACGCAAATATCAAGTTGCAGTTATATTAACCCCTTACCTGCCATGAGCCCCATTTGAGGATCTGTTAAAATTAAACTCACTACATGTTATTCCTTGTATTTACATTGAATTGCTTATATACATTGCATTTGCAGAGGTATATTTTACAACACTTAGCCTTTAAAGTTTTTATTTTTAGCTGCAAGAAGAGACTTTCTGTCGTAATTTTACATTTCACGAGTAGAAAAATAATGACTATTTTGAAAAGTATTTTTTTATTATTTCTAATCAATATTATTTTTTGATGTTTTATATACATATAACTTTGATGTTCTAGTTTCTATAAAAATAAAAATGGTAACTACTGAAATTAAACATAAGAATAAATAAACTCCTAAGACACCTGACTGAGCCAAAAATGGAAATTTGTCACAAACTTGTGCAATGACCACATATTTGAGACTATAAGCATCCACCCAGAAGGTATCCCGATTTTTTAAATTTTATTAAACGGTGATTTTACATGGT